CCCTGAGGTTGGTACTCATGCCCTTGAGCCATAGGACACTGACACTGGTGTCCTGACACTTGACACGGGTGTAGTCATAGCAGAATTCACATACTTAGATTTAACAAACCAGCACAAAACAGCTTCTGTTATACCTCACTGGTTACTCAGAAGTCAACAACACAGCTCCACCTAGTCACCCAAGTCAAATAGGAGGAGGATTAATGAAAATCTTATTCATCATATAAAAGAAAAGGTACCTTCTATTTCAAAGGATCAGCTACATTCCCCCCCAGATTAAAGAATATTCCAGATGTTACCCAATTCGATGTTTACAGCCAATTCTTATTAACTAAACTAAAATTTATTAGGTGAGAAAGAGTGAGTATAGGTTAAAAGGTCGGTATATGTACAGACATAAGTACAATCTTGGGCTTCAGATTCATAGCAGAGATGTCAAGTATCAGGGGGTAGCCGTGTTAGTCTGTATCTATAAAAACAAGGAGTCTGGTGGCACCTTAAAGACTAACAGATTTATTTGGGCATAAGCTTTCGTGGGTAAAAACCTCACTTCTTCAGATCAACATCCTTGTTGTTTTTATAGCAGAGATGGTGAGCTTTGTAGATGCATCTGAAGAAGTGAGGTTTTTACCCACGAAAGCTTATGCCCAAATAAATCTGTTAGTCTTTAAGGTGCCACCAGACTCCTTGTTTTTATAGATACAGACTAACACGGCTACCCCCTGATACTTGACATCTCTGCTATGAATCTGAAGCCCAAGATTGTACTTATGTCTGTACATATACTGACCTTTTAACCTATACTCACTCTTTCTCACCTAATAAATTTTAGTTTAGTTAATAAGAATTGGCTGTAAGCATCGAATTGGGTAACATCTGGAATATTCATTAATCTGGGAGGTAATGTATCTGATCCTTTGGGATCGGTAGAACCTTTTCTTTTATATGATGAATAAGATTTTCATTAATCCTCCTCATATTTGACTTGGGTGACTAGGTGGAGGCCTGAGGCTCGGTTACTTTAAAGGAGCTGTGTTGTTGACTTCTGAGTAACCAGTGAGGTATAACAGAAGCTGTTTTGTGCTGGTTTGTTAAATCTAAGTATGTGAATTCTGCTATGACTACACCCGTGTCAAGTGTCAGGACACCAGTGTCAGTGTCCTGTGGCTCAAGGGCATGAGTACCAATCTCAGGGCAGACTGTTAAGAAGTCCAGGACACAAACCCCAAATTGGTTGGCGCTCTAGACTTAGATTTTGCCAATTATCAAGTGAAACTCCTCAGGCCCTATAACACCCTTAACATAAAGTTACAGACAGTCCCCATCCAGCTTAGCCTAATTTACACCATAAATCAAACCAATATTCAGGTTACTTCCAATCCCAAAGGACCAGTCACTTTCCCCAGGTCAACTGCACCTTAGATCTTACACCAAAGACAACACTTGTAGCCAATCCTCTAATAAACTATACACAGATTTATTAATAAGAAAATAAGAGTTATTTACAAAGTTAAAGCAGGTAAACATGTACACAGATGAACTACAATCTTAAGTTTTTGAAGTAACAGAAGCTTCTATGACAAGCAAGTGCTATAGGTCCTTTAGGCTAACCCAGACAAAACACTTGGATCTTTTGCTTATGCCTAGTAATCCTGTCCCCCAGAGTCCAACCAGCATAAAGAATACAACTTCTTCTAGTTTGGGGTTTATTCCCTTACCCCAATCCCTTCTGCTCTGAGCTGCAAACTCAGCTGATGGGAGGAATTCACTTGCATGACTCATCTTCGGGGGGGGGGGGGGTGAGGGAAGAGGTGGGAAAGAGCAGAGTTCTCTTTCATTTTCCACAATAATCGCTCTAGTGTGGAAGGGTCTTGCTCGTTAGACAGAACATGACATACCTTCCCTTGGAGACCAACACTTTATGCTAGTTAGTTTATCTTTTGTCCGATGATTACACAACCATAGAGACTTAAAATAGGTGATACGGTTCTATAAGAATGTGTTTCATGTTTAGACTTTATTAAGTGCTTGTGAATTGCTGCATGTATTAATTTCATTTATAACATCTGTATCCCCTATTGTAAGGTAATATTTAAGCATTTGTATTTTAACAATACCAACACACAGGTGAGCCAGACTGATTCCAGTTCTGCATTTGTCAGTGTTCAGTTGAGACATGGGGTTTTATAAGTCTGTAGCCTTATGTCCACCACTTTTACAAAGTATGCCTTATGAGGTATCATTTGAAAACTCATAATTTGCTGAGCAGTATTGTCTTGGTAAAATATAAGTCTACTATATGACAATTGCTGAGACACAATCCAAGAAAAATGTACATGTGGACAAAGGAACAGCTGAGGATTCCCATGCAAATAGACTGTCTTCTGAACCTCAGATGGAAATGATTTTTAAAGAGGAAAATAACTAAGAGATAAGAACATCTCTCTTCATAGCATCGACAACATTTGAAAGACAAAGAAAGCATCATTGGACTAGTGAGGGATCCTGGCTGAAAAAGTCAGCCAGTAAGACTGCTAGAACATGTGGTGAGAGCCCTTTTGCTTTAATACGTAACTTAACAAGCTAAGTGAACTTAGTGTGTGTTTTACCTTTTATTTCTTTATAACCAATTCTGACTTTTATGCATTATTACTTGTAATCACTTAAAATCTTGCTTTCTGTAGTCAAAAACTTATTGTTTTATCTAAATCAGTTTGCTTGAAGTGTTTGGGAACTCCATATGAGGTAACAAGGTTTGTGCATAACATTTTCTGTTAATGAAATGACAGACTTTATATGAGCCTGTATTGTTGTCCAGCAGGCTGCTGGGCTGTACAGGATGCATATTTCTAGGACTTGGAATTTGCTGTGTCGCTCCACTGTGTAATTCAAGGGTGGCTGATAGAAACATTCTTACAGTATAGCTCAGATTAATTTACATGCTGGGGGCTGTGTGAGAGCAGGCCAGGAGTGGTTGCTCTCACAGCAAAGCATGTAAAAGGCTGGAGAAGTGAGGGGACACAGCTGTTCAACAGTCCAGATTGTACCTTGGGGAATGTCACAGAGGGACTTTGGCATGAGCTGGCACATGGTCTACCAGCATCACACATTTCAATGTGGAAGAAACATTGTATTTATTTAGATTTATTCAACATTAAAAAAGGTGCTTAAGTCAACACACTGGCCCCCTTATATAACTGATTTTCACAATATAATCAAAGTGTTCTTCTCACAAGCAAACAAATATACAATTTACAGCAGACTTAGGCCCCAAACCTGAAAGAAGAACAAAGCAGGTATACTCCTGCAAATGCTCAGAGCCTCATAAAGCCAATAGGCATCTGCACAGAAGTGTGTTCACATGGCTCTCAGTGTAGAATCAGAACCATGATAATCAAATCCTGCACCATCAGCCCATCACCTCCTTGAATGGATCAGTAATTACACAGGCCTTGCATTATGCCTGAAAGTTAACAAATTCTGGTTATTTTTGTCCAGAGAGTGTGGGGAACAAATTCCAAGGTTGACAGATGGTCCAGGATAATGGCTCGGAAGCAGCTTCCTTATGTATATAATGAGGGGGCTCCAGCTTCAGCAACTTTGCAAAGGTGTGGCCTGGGGAGAGAGGTCTCTCTCAAGTAAGCAGACCCAAACCATTTAGGACTTGTCTACATTCAGTGGTAGCGTGACCTTGCATACACGCATGCTGTGCAGATGACACCATTTTGCTCTACTAAAGTGTGCATGCACCACACACTCTAGGAAGGATGCTATTTTGAGAACAAAATGGCATTCTCCAGGCAGCAAAAGTCCCGGTATGTGGTCCCAGCATGATCCAGCCCCATCACAGCAGTCTACACTAGGATAAAAGGTGTATTTTCCAAAATGTTTTAACACCTACATATAAACAAGGCAAGTGTTAAAAACATGTGTTAGATTATTGTGTTTTTGACAAAGGGCTAAAACACAAGCACAGGAGATTCACCTATCTTACCCAGCATCTTTTTACTTCTTTCCACTGCAGTTCTTCGAGTTTGCTCAAACATTGCTTCCAAGTCAAATGTTCGAGCTTTCTTTCCTAAAAGATGAGGTAAAAAGAAATTTTGATTAAGACCAAGTAACATGAACTCCAGAAGATTAAAATGAGTAAGTGACCAGGGTAACTCAGATGCTCTCCAATTCAAGTTTCAGATTAAAAATCTCCCACTGGGGCTATTACATAAATGGGAATTGGGCACCTTACTGCCCTTCGTGCCTTTGGGGGGGAAAAAAAAAATCTACCTCCTTTCCCCCCCATACACACATACAGTTTATACAGTTACTGCTACCATGCTTTTTACATTGCATTTCCAAGCATATTGTCAAAAAGTTAAATCCACAAATACTGTAGTTCAACCCAATGAGGAGCATTTTACTGTATTCTAAATCACATCCCATAATATAAAATTGGGGAAAGAACAAACAAGCTTCAGCGTTAAGCTTCATCTGGACTGCAAGACGCTTAACAAGTGCTTCCTGCCCCAACAGGTACCCTAGTCTTTCCAGCTATGGATAATGCTACTCTACTCCACAAAGACCCACACTCCTGCCTACTGCTCCCTTCACCATCCCCAACCAGTACTTCCCCAGTGCACAAGGTGTATTCTTCCAGCACACAGACATTGCCTCCTTTGCCCTTCCCATGAGCCCTGAACTCACCGAAGCCCGAGAAGCCCATCGTGGCTGCCAGCTCTGGATCGGGTCCTCCCACCAGCTCCACATCTAGAAGGGAACACAGGAGTTAGTGCACAGAGCCCACCATTCCAGCACCTCCCCAGGGAGCTGCACTGGGAATCACAACAGGAGCCACCTCCACCAGCAGGAGGAAGTGACCACACGGGAGATTGCAGCAGATCAAGAGGAGCCCTGCCACAAGGTGATTGGCCCACTCACAGAGACTCCTAAAGGCACCCGCTCAGGATTCTCTGAAACCCCAGCTACTGAGAAGCAGCCTTACTGGATAGGTAGAGCTGCACACATAGTACATTATAGCCACAGATATGGTGCTGGACGGACTCTCGTCCCCACCTCTGTGGCAGCACCCAAGCAGGCTGCTGTTTCCCCAGCCAAACTCATTTCCCTCTCCATGTCCCCCAATTACCCTTTATAGCCCCCCTTCCCCAATACATTACACCTGCAAGTCCCTGGCAAGTCCCTAAACAGGTTTAGCAGCAGGGTTAGTTGGAAAGAACTCGATCTAAACATGGCACAATCAAAGGCTCAAGCTCAGCGATCTGCCACTGTAGCATAAACACTACAACGATTATTTGAGAGGCGCCAACTAGCTCAGACAAATTCTTCCATCCACTTAGCTGTGAATAAACTGGGGATTAGGTCATCAAAACAACATTGTGCAGGGCATAAAATTTTTCACAACCCTGAGTGAGGTAGCTAGGTCTACCTAAATTTTAGGTGTAGACCAGGCCTCAGTGTCCAATGGGACAGGGTTATAAAGTGTAATGGTTGAGATTTTCAACAGAGTCAGGTGCCAAGTATAGTAGATGATGTGAAAGCCCAAGCACTTCAGTGAGCAAGACATGCAGTTTGAAAGACAGACAGACAAACTAAGCATCTCTTGGAAGGACATCCTTACAGTTTCCAACATTGTGGTTGGCCAGGGAGAAGATGGAGGGATAACACTGTACAAGACCTAAAAGCCCTAAACATGCATTACCATCAATGAGAAAAATATGTGTTGACAGAAAGAGGTTGGGGCAAATTGTTAGCATGGCCAAGGACCTCCACGATCTATAGAACTATGGAGTAGGTGACTAACTCCAATTAAATCAATGGGAGTTTGGCACTGTTGTATTAACTGAGATGGAATAAAGAGGTCAAAGGTATTAACATGATCCTGTCCCCATCCCACATTAAACAGTGTTAAACAAATTTTGGGGTTTGGTATACAGAAAACTTAGCCTGCCTAGTACCATGGCAAACATCATTAAAAATCATTTTAACCTTTTACTAAAGATATTGAAAGAAGGAAGAGTTAAAACATTTGAAATGTAAAGTATTAAGTAAGGCTTTCATTCTAGCTACATCCCTTGTTCCCTTTTCCTTCAGCTGTAAAGAGACTTTAAAGGCAAAACTCCCTGTTTGACAGTCTCTTAAATGGTATTAAAAATTATTATAAATAGTTTCAGTGAAAAAAGAAGTTAGATGAAATGAGCTGGAGCAATTGTTGATGTCATTAAAGTCTAACCCCATTTCCTAGAACACAAAACAAGACAAACAAGAGGGAAAAAAAACAACGGGAAAGAGAAAATGCAGCTTCTGCCTTTGGTATTGACTTTCACTTGCAACCTCATTGCTGGAGAAGCACAGGCAAAGCATGTGGTCTTATCAGCCACTCAAAGACCCGGCAAACTTGTAACACCATCAGATTGTGGAGGGTATTGCTTTTAGCTGCTTTTCTAGTTACAGGCTTACAGCAGAGCTCCAAAATATATGGTTGTGGCTGGATAAGTCAGACTCTTATTAGAGAGAAGAAAAAAAGAAGATAGGAGAAAGACAGAATAAGGAAAAGGAAACATGGAGCAGGGCGGGGAGGGGAAAAAGAGAGAGACACGCAAAGTCTCACATCCCAAGTGCAATTTAGTTGGAGCCAGCAGAGGTGGCAATATCATCCGGGTCCCTCTCTGTGGCATAATCTTGTCAGGACATCTCTCAGGATCAAGATGATGAAGGTACAATATTGTTATGCAGGATCCCAGAAGATGGCGTGGGTAGCCGCGATGATGGTAGCTCACTCCATCCCCTTTTTTCAGACAGCATTGTGGAAGCCAGCTTTTCCCCCAGCTCTTTTTAAGGATCCCAAAAAGCAAATGCTGGGAACAGCCCATCTCATCATAATTTTATCCACCAATTAAACCTAATTTCCAACATACCAATTTTGGTCCATTGATTTCTTGTCCCACTCTTTTTTTCTTTACCGTTCATAACTTAACAGCCCTTCAATTATATCAGTGAGCCTTTTTGTTTGGACTAATTTAGTCTCTCTCTCGCTCTTTTTCTGATCAAAAGATATTATAAGTTAAAGTTTTTTTAAAAACCACTCAGTCACTTTATAGTTTTGCTTACAATTAGGATAAATTTGTAGGCCCAATTATTACGATAGCAGCTAGCTCCCTTAGGCTTGTTTGAAAATCCTAGCCTTTATTATTAACATCTTTATTTAATTGGGTTGCACTTCATTTGGTAACAGTCCAGCAGCTTCATCGCTCTTTGTTAACTTTTTCCCATTTATCTTCTACTTAAGGAAAGGATAGTCTTGAAGTTAAGACATTAATTTGGGACTTCCCAGTTCTGCCACAGACATCACATACGACCTTGGGCAAGTCTCTTAATTTCTCAGTGCCTTAAGTCATGTCTTCCCTGGCAATCTTAAAGTGCTGCCCCGGCAGCACTTTAACATAGCTTGGGTAGTCACAGCACAGTGCTGGGACAGCTCTCTTAAAAAAGAAAGAAAGAAAAAAAAAAAAAACCACCCCCACAAGGGGCACAGATCCCAAAGCTGGTGCACTGTCTATACTGGCACATTACAGTGCTGAAACTGTTTTTTCATACCTCTGAGCAAGAAAGTTGCAGCGCTGTAAAGTGCCAGTGTAGACAATTTGTTCACGTACAACACAGGGGATGAGATGTCCTTTCCTGTGCTCTTTGTCTTGGCTCTTTAGACTGCTCTTCAATGCAGAGACTCTCTCTTACTGTGCGTATGCACAGTGCCTAGCACAACAGGGTTCCAATCTAGGTGCTCCAGTAATACACATAATAGAGATGTTGGCCCACATTGCAGTCTAACCTCATACTTTATCAAGTACAAATAACATATTACAGACTAATGTTATACCTGCCTTCATTGAACATATCTTAATGTTCTGCCTGAGAGCAGGTTGTGCATCTGTTTGTGAGAAACAGGGAAGGCTGTAGGCCTAGTGAGGGGCTCAGGGCTGTATGTTAACACAGCAGGAGAGTTTGTCGCGGAGGCCCAGACTGGGCACAGCTGAGCATCGGGAGTTAGATCACAGGTTGGCGGAGAAGATACCGCCCATGTAAGAGCTAGGTATTGCTAGTGACTTCGGCGCTGACAGGGGGTCACTGGCGGAGACGCTCCGCGGGCTGACTCGCTAAGCCCGGCCTCAGAGGAGCAGCCTAGCTCTTTTATTCCGTCATCTCGGCGCACAGCCCAGCCTGGCCCAAGAGCCCAGGGGTTACCGAGCTCTGCTCTGCAGTCGAGGTGCGAGCGCCCAGGACCGGCTGCGGCGAGGCGCTCCCCCCCAGGTTCTCGGAACCCCGGTCCTATCCTCCATCCTCCTCTTCCCCTTTCACTCACGAGACACCTCAGCCGCCAACGCCGCTGCCCCAACGGTCTCTTCTGTATCCATCACAAGATCTTCTCCCCTTGCCAACTCCACGCCGCGGCCACCAATTTAAACGTAACCCTTTCCGGCTGCAGGGCGTCCTTCGCCGGAAGTGACTGGCCGTGAAGCGGAAGTGCGTCAGACGCTCGGGCGCGGTGGCTGCTGGGGTTTGGCGCGGTCCTGTCTCTCTCTGGCCGCTATCGCTATGCCTGTGGCGATGAGCCCGGCTGCCCCGGCCTTGCAGGAGGCGCTGGAGAACGCGGGCCGCATCATCGACCGGCAGATCCAGGATGATCGCTGCTACCCGGACCTGTCCGAGCTGCTGGCTGTGCCGGCGCCGGGTGAGGATCCGTACGGGCCCGGTCACCGCTCTGGTCCCCAGCTCAGCGCTTCCTCCTCCCCTTGTGATTCTCCCCAGGCGGGTCGGGCGCACACGGCTCATCCCCCTCGAGCCCTGGTGGCCACGCGGGGACCGCGCGCTACATCCACCTTCCCTGCCGGGATGGCTGCTCGGGGCACCCTCTGCGGGCAGCAGAGCCAGAGCGCCCCGCACTGTGCCTCTGCTGCCCTCTTCCTGCCCCTGGTGCCCCACGTGCAGTCACGTCCCAGCCAAAACAGCAGCTCGTGGGGCACTGGCATCTCTAGTCCCCAGTGAAAACTGCACTCCAGAATCCTGGTGAGGCATCTCTGAGATTATGTCTACACTGCAATGAAACACCCATGGCTTGCAGCGCTTGAGCTTCAGGGCACGGTGAAATTACAGTTAAATATTTGGACTGGGCTCTGAGACCCTTTCCTCTTGCGTGGTGTCAGAGCTGGAGCCTGAACGTGTACAGCCCAAGTTAGCTGACCCAGGCCAGCTGAGGACGTTCTATTGCATTGTAGATATACCCTGAGTTATGGGGTGCTTTAGGGCTGGTCTATACTATACTATGGTGGGGATCGATCTAAGGCCTTGGCTACACTGGCGCTGTATAGCGCTGCAACTTGCTGCGCTCAGGGGTGTGAAAACGCTCCCCGCCTGAGCGCAGCGAGTACAGCGCTGTAAAGCGCCAGTGTAATCAGCGCCTGCAGCGCTGCACGCTCGCTTGCAGCACTGCAAGCTATTCCCCTCGGAGAGGTGGAGTACTTACAGTGCTGTGAGAGAGCTCTCGCAGCGCTGGCGGCGCGACTACACTCGCGCTTCACAGCGCTGCCAAGGCCTAAGTTACGCAACTTTAGCGATGTTGCATCCAATGAAGTGGGTATTCACCCACTAAAGCTCATGCTCCAATACGTCTGTTAGTCTATAAGGTGCCACAGGACTCTTTGCTGTGAATAACATAGCTGATGTCGACGTACTTAGATCGACTTACCATGGTGTGTACTCACTGCAGTGTGTTGACGCTCTCCCGTCGATTCCCCTTGCATAACCCGTTGAGGTGGAGTACCAGGGTTGACACTAGAGCGATTGGCAGTCAATTTATCACGTCTATACTAGACCCGATAAATCGACCCCCGCTGGATCAATGTGAGCTGCCTGGTAGTGTAGACAAGCTGTGAGTGTCCACAGGTGACTAAGGCTAGCGCTGACACTAACAAATTGCCAAATAATTCCTACAGTTTGCCTTAAAGTTTATTGCCCATATTTCATGTATGTTGAGAATTTGCCTCCTTTCCTTATGTGGTTCAGTTCAGTCATCTTTGATGGGTTATGTATGTTTCTTCCTTGTCAGGAGCACCTAGCTTATGCGTAACAGTTACTTAAGTTAAAGCACCTATCATTTTAAATGATCCTATAGTGAGCGATGGCATTGGGGTTGACTCTAGTAAAAAAAGGATTGATGCTTAAATGCATCCAAAGAGGGTAAGTCAACAAAAAAAGGCCCCGATCTTGCAACTTTTTATGCATGGACAGATTACACATCTTGTTCTCTTTTTTCCTTAAAGAGTACACTTCTATAAACTTATTTCACTAATATAGAATATGAAACAGCAATTCTAAAATAAAAATATCTCAAAAGTTAGTGAGCTGTGAAAAGGAAGGGAAAAGGGGAAAGGAAGACAGTACTTAGGAAGTTTTATAGAGCATCACTTTTCTTGGTCTGATAAGACTCTTCCCACAAAAGAAGCTAAATGCAAGGAAAGTCTAACTTGCATTTGGTGGCAGGAGAAAAACATTGCAAATATAAACTTTGGAGTTTATTATAAACAGAGGGGACTGCATTTCATTTGTATTATACCAATGTAGTTTGTGAACAGTTATGAGAGCCTTTGGGGTGGAAGGTGCTTATAGCACATATATATATATATATATACACTTTTTTTGAGAGAGAGAGCGCCTATCAGCCAATTTTAGCGGGGCACTGGATATTTTATTTGTTTTCTTTATTTTAAGTTTATATTACAGATTTGGCTTGAAATTGTGAAAGTCCCTCGTTTAAAAATACTTGACAAATATTTTGAGTGAGCTGTGTTACTCTTAGTGCACTTGTATCATTTGTGTATTATTTGTTTATTGTAAATTTTGCTTTTGCTCATGTCTTATTTAGGATTTAGATTTACGTTGTAAAGTACTGATCCTACAAACATTTATACACATGATTAACTCGTGTTTAATACTACTCGTATGCTTAAAATTAAACATGTGTATAAGTCTTTGAAGGATCAAGGCCTAAAATATTAGTTTAGTTCTTCCCTGTGGTTTGAGGACTTTGTAGTTTGTTCATTTATCTGAAATAATCAACCAAAATTAAGAGAGGAAATAAAGTAGTCTAAATCAGGTTTAACAGAGATGAGTGCTTGCTAATTCAAATATTGGGGCAGGGGAAATCTCTTAAGGATAATTGAAGAAAATTACCAATTAGGTATTATTTTTTGGCTGACAACTTGTTTTTCATATGAAACTTTAAATTGTATTTTTATTTTTAATTGCAGGTAGTCCTACAGTTTCTGGTATGTCAGATATGGATTATCCTTTGCAAGGACCTGGTTTGCTCTCAATACCCAATCTTCCTGAGATCAGTTCAATCCGCAGAGTCCCGCTTCCCCCTGAGCTAGTGGAGCAATTTGGACGTATCCTAATAAAAATAGCATGTTACTTTGTGTATATAATAATGTTAAAAAATGAATTTTTGTTATTTCATAATCACTTTGGCCCTGATCCTTCAAGCAGCTTCCCCTGGATGGACCCTTATCCTGCACACACCCACACTGGAGTCCGTATGGCTCCCAAGAAGTTACAGGGGTCCATCTATGTGAAGTTGCTTCAACAGTGGTAGCTACATGTTGTAATTTTGATGCTCAATGACAGTTGGGTATGTTTGTCGTAACAATCTTCTTACACTTAAATTAAAGAGGTCTGCATATGTTAGAGGTAAATATAAAATGCTTTTGAAATCAAGTGGAATAACTAAGTGTTGCTTGCAAGAGATGCATATTTTTTAGGGCTGTCAAACGATTAAAAAAATTAATTGCTAGATTAAAAAATAGTTGTGATTAATCACAGTTTTAATTGCACTGTAAAAATAATAGAATACCATTTATTTAAATATTTTTGGGTGTTGCTTACTTCTGCCGCTGCAGCTCGTGGTGCATGACGCTTGGCCTGCGGCTCAAGGCTGGCTCCGTGCTGTCGCACAGGGGCTAAGTCTTGCCAGAGCCCAGGGCAATCCCACAGCTCTGTGGCCACTCCTGGCTCACCAGGAGCACCATGAGAGAGAGAGAGAGAGAGTGCATGTGCGCGCGCAGACATTTATGTAGAATTCCCCCCAAGCTTGAGGGGCAGCATGGGAGTAAGCACAAGGTGGCAATGGAGGCTGGCATCATTGATGATAGGTAGGATGGAGAAAGGCCTTGAAAGTGAAAACGGTCATTATTGCTTTTAATGGATTGTAATGCTCATTTGGGATACAAATTGGTACCTTTTTTTTTTTAACCAACTCTATAAAAAAGTGTCTGAGGAGAGAACATTTGATTCTGCCCAAGCATCAACAGTGGTAGTTATTGGTTTGCCCAGCATGGAGCATAGTCTATTTATGATGCAGAGGTGGAACTTCTATTGGTATTACTGGTACTTACTTGCAGTAAATAGTGAGTATGCCCCATGTGTCTAATGTGCAATATTTTCAAAACAAAGCAGGGCCAGAGAAAGCTGCAGTATGATGTCGTTGCTTTGGGAGGTGCACAGCTAATACCAAGGAAATTTCCCCCTAACATCTGTATCTGATTTCTTTTAAAGCGAGTTTTCATTTATTTTTTCACACTTGTCAAAATATGTCAGCTTCTCATACACACATACAGAACTTTTTTAACTAGTATCTGTGCATATTCTTACAACTTTAAAATAGCTTGATGGGGATTTTGTCTTGGCTAGCCTAAGTACATTATTCCTTACATCTGTGGTATTTCAGATATGCAATGTAATTGTATGATGGGAGTATTTCCAGATATCAGCAGGGCATGGTTGACCATTGACAGTGACATTTTTATGTGGAATTATGAAGATGGGTATGTAGAAAACAAATTTCTACAGGTATATATGGTGTTAAATCTGAATTAAGTGATGGTTATAAGGGAGTGATTTGTTTTAGCACAGAAATGTATTTATCATTTTAAGGTACCTTGATCATTTCAGGTTCTGGATTTTTTTGTGCAGGGGGGTTAAGAGGTGGGTAAGGAAAATGCATACTTTTAGTATTAGGCTTCTCCACTCTCTCCTAAATTTGTTGTATTTATATTGAGCTTGAGTTCAAAATTTTTAAGAGGAACGTTTTTATTTTGGACTCTGTATGCTCATACAACAATTAACTTGGCTGACTAGGTTTAATCCATGCATTATGGTGTATTAATATATATGTAGTAGGCAATCATGTTCCCACAATCAACTATTTTTATGTTTATAATGTGGCTTTGTAATGATGAAGATATACCAAAGCTTTCTGATTTAAATTTATTATGAATATAAATATCATACCTGACTTATGATTAAAAGATTCATAAAACTATGATGATAAATTCATAGTCTTTTTGAATGGCTCAGGGAGAGATGCCTGTGATATCCATTCAGTGCATGAGTTTGTGTTCTTTATGTGTCTCTTAAGTCCATTAATGGCTATTAGCCAGGATGGGTA